TCTCGTAGAGTCAACATCAGCAAGAAATGTTAAAAGTGCACATTCAGTACGTCACGGCGACAGAGAAGTATTTTGCCATCTAGTGGGTGGTCAGCACTCTGTTTTATTACCTCCTGTGGTGTTCATTAACCTCCAGTCCAGAACACGTTGCTCGACGAATGCCAACAGATAACACGTTGGTATCTGTAGGTCACGCTGGACGCTTTCCAGGCCCGGGCTTGGCTGTGGAGGTATGCGGCTGAAACACGGCTGTGGAGGACAGAAGAAGAGAGCAAAAGATGAGGTTTGTTGGAACGGATCCAGTAGAAGAGAAAATGCAATTAATACAGATGTAGTCAGAGGTTGAATCCTTGTCTTTTTTTTTTTTTTTATATTCTGTAATAGCACCAGGGTCCTGGCCTTAAGAAAGACAAATGTTCGGAGAACGTGAGAGGAAAAAAAATAGACTGTACTCCGAAGACTGGCAGGAAGTAGTGGAGGAGTGCAGTGGGTGGGGGAAGTGAATTTTAAATTTAAATTTTAAACATAGTCTATAACCAGTGTTTCCCATAATTTTTTTTTTCTGGGGACCCATATTTTAAAAATCACAAATCTTCGCGACAAGTCAATAGATCTTATTCATAAATTCCTGGGAAACATGATGCGAGACGACCCCAAAAAAAAATCTCTCGCGAGCCACCAGAGGGCCGCTACCCAGTGTTTGGGAAACAATCGTCTGTAAAAATAACTAGAGTATTTCTTTGTACGTCTCCTGATGATTGTCATGATGCGGTAAAAATAATAAAAAATTGCTCTTTCGTGTTTGTGTTGAAGCTTGCCGACCTCTGACCTTCACCATCAAAACAAAACATGATCCGATCATCTGTGTTTTTTAAATACAGTCTTAATATTTATTCCGAGTAAACAGTTTAATAATGTTCATGTTTAGCAGTTGTACATTTTTAGATCCCTTCATTATGCTTCACCTCTCGTGTCCTTCTCAGCTTCCTGTCATCTTTCAGCACCAACTTCCTGTGCTCTCGGCCACAGTAATCACCAGATCCTTCACACCTGTGTCTTGTGTACTGCACATACTGCATACAGGACTCTGTACTGCTTCTGTCTTAAGCCAGCTCTCGTCTGGTAGTATATTCTGTTTCCTTGTCCTCGTCTTGTGTCCTTGTTTGTCTTGTTTTTCCTCGTCCGGTGTTAGCTTTGGGATTTGGTGTCGGAGCCTTCTGTGTACTCTGTGTACAATCCAGGGCTGTCTGACTTCCCGCAGTGTATTTTAAGACGTTTCCTACCTGATGTGAGGTGGATAAGTTCGTGACACCAATTATGGTAACTACTTTTACATGTCCTCTGTTCCTACAGACTGTTACAATCTTTCAGTGGTTCTCAACTGGTGGCCCGCGGGCTGAATCCGGTCCACCGAACCATCAAATCTGGACTATGACTAGATACAAAATAGTGAAGATCAATATAGTTATATTCCACGAATATAGTTGGCGTCCAATCAAATGCCTTACCAGAAAAAAATATACAAACATCACAGAGGTAGGGCTCCATTAATGAATGCATTCTTACACAGGTCTGATGATGATGCCAAACAAACATGATCCAAAGCTAACAGACATCCTGGGTTCAGCAATTTTCTTATGATAAAAAAAAAA